AGATATGAATTTTTAGACACAATGTAAGAATTTGTTTTATGTGGCTGTACCTTTTTTTTTTTTAAGAGAGGGCTTTTATTTTTCTTTTGGAGGAGGAAGACTTAGGGTGGAGAGTAGTGTAAGAGAGTAATGATAGCAAGGTGACTAAAACAGAATAGAGAGAGAAGAGGCCCAAGTCAGAGTGTTGCAACACCCTGCATCAAAAGCCTGTCTGTCTTTCTTTCTTTCCCTTTCTTCCTTTCTTTCTCGAGGCAATCAAGGTTAAGTGTCTTGTCCAGGGTCACACAGCTAGTGTCAAGTGTCTGAGGCTGCATTTGAACTCAGGTCCTTATAACACCAAGGCCAGTGCTCTATCCACTGTGCCACATAGCTGCCCCAGGCCCAGCTTTTTAACAACGTAATTCCAGTAATACTGTATGTCTGTAAGAAATAGAATACAACATTCACTAAATAATTACAGTTGAGGGTCAACTGTAGTGGAGAGGTTCATGGTAACCATGATCAAGCTTACACCACATGCACAGAAAACACATTTTATGCACAGAAAGACTGCACAGAAGACATATTTTAAAATGTCATCATATCACTGTATCACCAGAAAAAAAGATGGGCCAGTCTTGTAGCAAGAGTGAGGGATAACTCTGCAAAGTTTGTATGTTCACTTGGTAAATATTAAGGAATCTAAAGGGAAGCCCTAAAATGTTAAGGACACCTCCTATAAAGTAATTACGGGAGGGCAGAGCCAAGTTTCATAGCATAGCAGCTATATAGTATTTAGGATCTACACTGAGCCTGGACAAGAGCTGAGTAAGATGTTCAACAGAACAATCTGAATCACTGGAGAGAAGGCCTACATTGATGAGATAACAGACCCACTGAAGTGTAATCAGGGGTTCAAGCTTAGTTCATTTGCATAAGATTCCTCTAATTGGTGGAAAGGATTATTCAGATGTCGAGTGCCTGATGGAAGACTAGTACTTCTGGTGTGAAGGCTGCCAAGCCCTTTCCAGGGCTGCTTTCCACCTTTGGGGCCTACTTGTTCCACCTAACTCTCACCTGTGGCTCCAAGAAGCTGTAGCATGCGCAGTGGCCACATCCTGGTAAACTGTTTCAGCAGATGGGTTAAACTAAGCTGAGGGTAACCAAGGGGTCTCAAACCCGTTGGTGAGTTACGGGGTTGTCTACCCCAAACATGTGCAGACTTCCCCTGTTGGAATGGGCAGATGGGAACAGTTTGTTCTAACAGCCATGAAGGAGGCTAACGCAGGTGCTGTGGAGCACTTAGAGCTCGGTTAGATGTAGAAGATGCCAAGATCATCCATTCCAGTCATCTTGATTCTGTTCTGCCATTGGATTGTGATGACTCTGGAGGAGAGTAAGGCCAATGACTTTGTGCAACTCTGCCTTACTTAAATTCAATTTATGTACGAATCATAAGACATCACTCATACCATTTTACCTATCTCAAAGTCCTATGGCGACAGGCAAGTGTCGAAGCAGCAGGTGTGGATACACTGGGAATTATAGTCACAATTCTGCACACAGGCAGCCGAGGCCATAGGGTCATCTCATTGGAAGCAGCAGTAGGATTTGGCAGCCCCTTGGGTATCTGATCTAAGGATCCCACTGCTCACCTCCTGGTGTGAGGAAGGGGCTAGAAAAGGTCTGCTTACTCAACCCTGACTTGATTACCTCAGCAGGCAGGGATCCCACTATGCAGTCAAAACACCAAAAAACGTACAAAAACGTCTGCAAAGATGATTCCACTAATCATCGGCACATGGGATGCGTGCACACTTATAGACAACAGAAAATCCAGCAGACCTGAAAGACGAATGACTCTTGTTGCAAGAGAACTCAGCAGGTATCACATCCAAATAGAAGTCCTAAGTGAAACAAGGCTGACAAATGAAGGCCAGCTTACTGAAGCTGGAGCTGGATACGTGTTTTTTTTTGGAGTGACTAAAGTGAAGGGCAATGCAGTGAAGCTGATGTAGGATTTGCAATCAAAACTAATCTAGTCAACAAGCTTGTATGCATACCAAAAAGGAGTGAACAACAGGTTTATGACAATGTGTTTGATACTTGCAGGAAAACATCATGCCACCATCATTAGTGCCTATGCTCCCACCATGATGAGCCCCAGTGAGGTCAAAGAAAAATTTTATGAAGAACTGGAACCCTTATTATCAATGTGCCAAAAAAGGACAAGCTTATAATTCTGGGTGACTTTAATGCTAGAGTAGGCTCAGACTACCAGACTTGGCAGGGAGTCCTAGGGAGGAATGGAATTGGAAACAGCAACAGCAATGGTCATTTACTATTGAAGACTTGTGCATCTCATGACCTTCTCATCATCAACACTGTCCTCCATTTACCTAATGTAATAAATCTTTGTGGATACAACCTTACAGCAAACATCAACATTTAATAGACTATGTGATTGTAAGCAGACAGAAAGAATGTGAGAGTTACAAAGGCAACGTGTGGTAGACTTATCATCTCCAAGACTAAATATTCACACTCAACAAAAGTGTTCTCCCCAAGGCAAAATAAATACCAGAAGAATTAATGTCAACAAATTAGAGCTCTTCTCTGATTGGGAACAACTTGTTGCTAACTTGGAGGGAAAGTTGAGCCAACACAGTTGGCAACAGTGGAGCAGAAAAGGAGTAGGCAGCTTTCAGAGATTTGTCATATAGCTCTGCATTTGCTCATCTGGGTCACAACACTTGCAAACATCAAGACTGGTTTGATGAAAATGATGTGGAAATTCAGAAGCTGCTAAATGAAAAATGAGAACTCCACAGGGTTTACTAGCAGGATAGTTCATCCATCTCTAAGAAGACAGCATTTAATTCCTTCAAAAGTAAAGTATGAGCAAAAAATGTATGCTTGCCAAGAAGACTATTTTATAGAGAACTCATATAGGACAAGTGTTCACATGGTGGTCAAAAGAAATGATACAAGGATACTCTAAAGGTCTCTCTTAAGAACTTTGGAATTGATTGTGTCACATGGGAGAAACTGACACAGGACTACTCAGCATGGCATGCTCACATCAGAGAATGTCCTGTGCTTTATGAGCAAAGCAGAATTGAAATGACTCAAAAGAAACTCAAGATGTGCAGATTTAGAAAATAGACCCAACATGTTCACATGGACTATTTGTACCCAACCTGTGGTAGAATTCCAAGCTTCTATTGGTCTGATCAGCCACAGTTGGATACACTGAAACTTGGCTTTAGCATAGTGATGTCATTTTGGTCCTCTTCGAGAAGGAAGGACAACCAACCTGTATGAGGAATTTGTTCAGACATTAGGAAAAGAATGACCTTTCTTCCTTCTTAGAGAACACTTGGTTCCAGGTCCTATGGGGAAGAAAAGTTAAAAGAGACAAGACTTCAGGAAGTGACAGATATATTAAGGAGCCAGTGGTGCAACAAGCCCTCTATTTCCAGTTTTCCTGGACTCTTTGGGGAATTTCCCCATAGTTGAGATGGCTCAGCTGGGATCCCTACCTCTCAATGGGAGAGCTCATTCACTCTGTTGCTTGGCATATTCTAATCCGTTTAACTTCTGATTTCTGTTTATTACCTTAGTGGATAAGCTCTGCTATGGTCTTTTGTATAACTTCCATTTAGTGAGAAGGGACAAAGTCTTGGCTATAAGTCTGAGGTTTTCCATCCTCTTAAGAAGTAACAACTAGGAAAATAGCTTGGCCCTAAAAATCACTTTCCCTGTATCCTAGTTTGGTATCCCTTCCCTTAAGAGCAGAGTGGCCAGCCTATATGCTGCAATCTCCTGTTGCCTTTCAGTCATGAATCAAATTCACCCTTGCAGATGGGTGAGATTCTGAGACATCTATTAATCCTCCACCTTTAGACAAACCCATGTTTGACACAGATATACCCTATGTGGGCCATACACATCTTATAGAAGCATCTAAGTTATCTAGGACAAGTCACTTCATTTTTCTCATCTGTAAAATGAAGAGAATGGATGAAACGATCTCCTCCCAAACACAAATCTTATGACCTCTAGCTTTCATTAGAATATTTATATTTCCCCTTCTACTTCGTCCTTTTGGTAAGGTCCTCTGATTTCTTTAACGGGGGAAGGTGGGGGGAACAACTGTTACTCATCCATGCTCCAGAAAAGAAAGTGAGAATGGTGACTTTGCACAGCCCTCCCTACTTGAATTCAGTTCACTTTCGAGTCATGGCATCATCTTACTGATGTCATGGTCCTCTTCGAGAATGAAGGAAGAACGACGACAACAGATGGGCACTAGTTCAGCAATTTAAGAGTAGTTCCATGTTCAAAGACATCAAGTCGACTGCCCAGGATCACACAGCCAGCAGTCTCAGAGGCAGGGCTTGGACCCAAGACATCCTAACTCAAGGTCTGCTCTATTGACTTAGCCAAGCTGCTTCTCCTTTATAGCACACTAGCTTTGCATCAGACAACTATCACAGCCCCCTTATTGGGTGGTAAAATTCCTTGAAGGCTTATTCCATTTAACAGCGCAGGTTTACTTTACTTCCAGAAACGTCTTCCTCTTTGAAGACCCCCACCCTCCCGGAAGGAGGATAAGGAAATGGAAGGTGACTGAGGTTAGAGAATCCGGAGGGTGGCGGAAGTGTATGTCACATGACCTTCCCCTTCCGGCTCACTCCCTCCCTTCCCACGGCCATTAATAGATAACTCGTTGATGAGCGAAGGAAAAAAATACCTTTAAAAGGCTTCGGATGGTAGATGGTTACTGATACTTTGCGGGGAACAAAAAAGAAAAAAAAAGCCAGTCGGCAAAGGCCAAAACTTGGAAGACAAGCCATTCTGACCGTAACGTGTCTAATATGGTGGGGTTAGTTTTAGGCTTGTTTTGTAGAGGAGGTGGTGAGGAATCATGACTCATCCTGCCTAGACAGCAGTCTCGGCCGCCAGCCGGGGGCGGGACAGGGATTGCAGGGAGGAGGTGCCATGCGCATGCGCTCTAGGCAGAGCCTAGTGCGGACATGACAGCACTACCTAACCGGGCCCTTCTCCGGCTGCGGCTTTTCGTGTCCTGGCTAAAGCCCCGAGCCGGGGCTGCTGCCGCCTACGGGTAAACATGCCTGCCTCCTCCAGAATTGGGGGGAGGAGGGGAAGGGTCATGCCGTCTTGTGGTTTGGGGAGGGCAGCATTGTACCCGGGGTGGGGGGGGGTTCAGCTCCCTCACAACCTCGCGCCCGCAGTCACGCGCAGGCGCCGGGACTTAGGCACGCGGCGCGGGGGAACTGCGCCCTAACCCTAGCCCTCTCCTTCCGATTCGTGCAGCTGCGGGAAGGAAAAAGGAGGGCCGCGGGCCAGCCAATCGTGGAAGACCTCCGGGAGGGGGGGGCGGGGTCCTTTCCGCCGTGCGCGCGCACCTCGCCTGTGGTCGGGTGCTTCTCTGTGCCGCCTTTTCTTGTTTGTGTCTGGTGTGCTTAATGTTCTGGGCTAGACTTCTCAGATACACAAGATGGGGGGGTGGGGGGAACCGCTGGAGTTGAAGCCAGAGGACCTGAGTTCAAATCCTGACTGCCCTAGATCTTGTTGCATGTTTGCATGTTAGACTGTAAGTTCCTTGAGAACAGGGACTGTTTTCCCTCTCTTTGTATTTGACACATAGTAGGTGCTTAATAAAACGCTTGTTGACTAGCTGTAACCTTGGGCAAGACACGTCATCTGAGCCTAACTTTCTTTGCCTGTAAAATGAGGGGATTGTACAAAATGACTTATGAACTAGTCTAGTTGTAGACCTATGATCTAGGAAAAGAGACGACATGCTATGATTTGCCCTGGCCTTGTGTCATTGCCTTAAATATCTCCTGGAGGAGGAAGGGAAGCAGGTAAATTTGTTTTTGTTTTTCTACATTAAGCACGTCTAATGTCTAGAGCATTATGTATCAGGCTCTAGGCGAGAGATGGAATTTTAAGACTGTCCCGTCTCTAGTGTGATAGGCATTTTAACCATAAAATAGGTCTGAGTTTCTTCTTAGAGGAATTGTGGTTTTTAATTGTCTTTTTTTTTACAAGTAATGATACTATAGTAATAATTATAGCTTTGGTTGTTGTTGTTTTTCAGTTTTTCAGTAGTGTTGACTCTTCCTGACTTCATGTACCATAGTGGGCCAGACCCTTCTATCCTCCACTATCTCTCAAAGTTTGCCCAAGTTCATGTTCATTGTTTCTTTGACACTATCCATCCATCTCAACTTCTGCTGCCCTCTTTTCCTTTTTCCTTCAATCTTTCACAGATCCACTTATTTCTTTTTAAGGTATGCAAAGCAACTCCCCATTTTACAGATGAAGAAATTGAGATTAGGAGAGGTTAAACGACCTGGGAGTTTCTGAGCCAGAATTTCAAAGAAGGCCTATCCTGACTCTTAATTCTAATCACTAACTGTCTCTATAAATTCATTAACTGATGATTCTTTGAAGAGTTTGTGGAGTTTTTGAATCTTCCACTGTGTTTAGAATCCTATAACAGATATGTTACTGAGATTCATTGACTTGGAGTGAGTTCTTAACTTAATTAAACCTTTGGAACCGACAGCCAAAATGCCTGCAAATATTTATGAAGTATCTATTATGTGTTCCTCAGTGCTAGGCAGGAAAGTCCCTACTGTTGAGTACTTTACATTCTATTTGGGGAAACACCATGTATCAGATAAGTAAAATGGAGAGGGCACTGGAAACTGGTTGGAGGATCAGGATTGACTTTCTGCAATAGGTGGCTACTACTAAAGAAAATAAATCTTTGAATAATCCCAAGAGTATGAACTATATCTTTTCCTAAACTAATCCATCATTTATTCCATCATGTTCTAAGTATCAAATGCTTACTGAATGCCAGCTTCACATAAGATACTTAAGAGGGAATAGAAAAAAAAAATGTAAGTTCCTGCTCCCAAACTGGAGAAATTTACTACTTAGCTGGGGAGATGACATAAAAACTTGAAAAGTTAATAGCAAAACATATCAAAAGACATTTTATAATTACTAAATGGTCCAGTGACAAATAGTAATTGTCATGAGCTCAAAGGAGGTGATCCAAGAGGGCTCAGGTTTCATTTATATAGCACTTTAAGCTTATACAGCTATGTCTTCACAATTACACTGTGAGGTAACTTGTACAAGTATTATTAGCCCCTTTTTACAGGTGAGAAAATAAACTCTGAGCTGTGACTTGCCCAGGAGGGATAGTTATGCAACTGATAGATTATATGGCCTTGAGTAAATTACTCTTTATGTACCTCAGTTTTCCTGGTCTGTAAAATTTTGTGGGAAGTGGGGCATCAGGAGGAACACACAAAATAATCTCTAAGGCTGTTTTCAGTTTTAAAATAATTCTGTAAATTGAACATTACCAAATCTGACATTACCAAAGGATAGTCAAGATTTAGCTGAATGAAAAGAGTATTCCCTAGAAGAAAAATTAGTTAGTATTCTTACTCTTCCTTAACATTTTTGCAGTTATCTTGGCTCATACTGTTTAGAAAACCTGTCCATTTAGAAAGATGGAAGTAAACTCCAACACTTACTATACACTAAGGAAAAATATTTGGAGAACAGGAGCTGACCACAATACTTCCTAAGTATTACCCTAAAGTTATTTCCATAATTATAAATTGTTGGGGTTTTAATATAACTCTTTTTACATCTCAGCCAAAGTAACCTTTGTTCTATTTATTCTGAGTCTGTGGCTGGTTAACTGATGAATAGATCATAGTGCTAATGAAGCTAAAGTTAACATAGTTAATCTCTATATGTACCAAGTAGTTTTATTTTATTCCATGACCACTAACTGGACCCTTAATCCCTGACTAGTTTAAATTTGTGGCTTTTGGTTAAGAGGAATAAATTTGAGTGAATTCTTTGCCGTTCTTATATAAATGTTAAAGATACACAGCCTATTAATGATTGATCTCGTTTAAAGTTTACACAACTTCCTAAGAGAGGTCATAGGTCACAGATTTTTAGAGATGGAAGGGACCTTAGAGGCCATCGAGTTCGACACCCTCATTTTACAGATGACAAAACAAGTAGAGAAATGCTAGGTGATTTGTCTAGGGTCACACAGCTATTAAGTGTTTGAGGTAGGATTTAAACCCAGGTCTTCCTGACTCCAAGTCCAGTATCCTATTCATTCTAATTAATCAATAAATTATTAAGTGCCTACTCTGTGCCAGGCACTACATAGCACGTACTACCATGCTGATATTTATCAAACAGATCTTTTTATTAGTATAGTAAGTACCTAACAACAAGAGGTCTTAAGCTTTTACCTGCCACATTTTCTAATTTGTATTGAGGAATGAAAATGACAATTACAAAGAGAAAAATATAAGCAATTCATTTTCCTTTCACATCATGATAAATTTACCAGCTTCATAAATACCTTTTTGTAAACTCATTTCTGAAATTTTGAAACGATGGGCACTTCCCTATCTTGATGTAACTAGAAAAACATTAGTATGCATTGCCTCAAGGAATAAAGTTTAAAAAAAGTCCATTTCCCTTCTAATAGCCATTGAATGGATTTTAAATTAAGTACTGTGGTGGTTATGTGAACATTTAAGCTACTGCAGTTTTGTAGTGGTTAAAGTATAGTCTCATTCCCTTTATCTTTCACAATAGATTTTCACTTAATATCTCTATTATTTCTAAAACAGTTCCTAAAACCAGGTTCGTCTGAACTTGAATCAACCATTTTATAAATCTATTTGTTTTTCTATTCCATATTATATGTAATTAATAGTAACTCAAAGCTCGGAGCTGATAGGAATATAGCAAAGTTTTTCTAAATGGGATGTTCATTTCAGCATAATGAAGTGGGATCTGGGTAGTATAGACCAGATATTTCCGGGAAAGTTCAGTGTGAACTTTTTTCCATTTTATTTTTAGGAGGTGGTTTAAAAGGAAAATGTGTACAAGTTGAATCATTGAAAATACCCTCTCGTTATAACTAATAGTTCAGAAAATTAGATGTGCCTCTCCTGCTCCTTCCATCTGCTAGCTGTTATTGACAGTTGGCTTTCCAGACAACACAGCCTCTCTGGCCACCCTTTACAATTCTGACTCTACCTCCATTCTTCTCGTCCTTCTTCCCTATTGCACTTCCAGCTTCTTCTCTTCCTCTCCTCCTGTGAAGTTCATGCTGTTGATATGTTCCAATTTTTCTATTCTCAACTCTTACCCTTCTACTAAGGCACTTAAATACACATATTAATTCTCCATCAAATACCCTAACCACTCAGTTCCTAAGCTTGCACACCTCCCAGCAGCTACTCTTCCATTCTACCTCAGCCACAACAAATACGGGCATACCTTTGATCTTGCCTTCACCCCCCTCTGTGTTCAAGAACTGGGAAATCCCCTTCTCTGACCATAACCTATTGACTTTTTACCTCTTCCTCTGCCTTCCCTTACAGAATTCTTTGTTCTTACACTTTGCCCATGCTGTGACCTCCAGTCCTTTGACCTTTCAATTCTTAAGCTGTCTCTCCTGCACTGTCTGCTCTCTTCTTTTTTCCCCACTTGACCCCTTGGTGAACCAGCTCAACTCTACACTGTCCTCTCTTGAATCCGTAGGCCCCTTCTCATATTGCTGATTACAACCGACCAATCCTCAGTCTTGGATCACTTTCACCATTTGTCACCTTCACTATATACTCTTGTTGCTGAACAGAGATGGAGAAAATCACATAACCTTTCTGATTGGGTCCGTTACGGATTTATGTTACACAATCTCAAATGGGCCCTCCCTACTGTGAAGCAATCACACTATGCCTCCCTTCTCAGCGCACTGTTCTCTTCTCAGCAGCTGCTCTTGCAAACCTTTTCATCCCATCTCTAACCTTCCAGAGCCACCATGTGCACCATTCTCTCAGCTGAGAACCTTGCCTCATATTTTGCAGAAAAAATTGAGGCTGTTCACTGTAAACTATCTCTTCTCCGCTCTTCCTCATCTACCTCTCAGATGCCTTCTGCCACTATCTCTTCCTTCACCCCTGTGTCACATGATGAGGTGCCCTTACTCCTTACCAAGGCAAACCTCTCTACTTACTCAGGCGATCCCAT